TCTTATAACATTTGGGGAGAGTGTATCTCATCTCTCCAAGCTATGATAGACATGAAATTCAAATATCTCCAAACACTCAAATCATGGAAATTTGATAACCTTTTTAAGCTTGAACCAGTTGTTTATCACCAACTCGTTCGTATTTTCTACTCTAATACAGTATGTGTCCAAAACGAGTCCCAAACCACAACCGAGAGTATTCGGTCTTATCTTCTAGGCCAATACATTAATATTGACTCAGATTATATAGCTAATGCATTTGTATTAGATAACAGAGGGTTAGATAATGAGCGAGCTTTCGTGCTTTCCCCTTATAAAGCCAAGTCTAGTGCGAGTGTTTTAGATTATTATGAATGTTTCCTTCATATAATCATCTCTTGGTGGTTCATACCATCCAAAGGAAAATACTCGACTCTTAGAGCCCTTGACTTATGGTGGATACATTGTATCCAACAAAACAAGAAAATAAATCTCCTTCAAATTATCTTTGGGGAACTCGTAGAAACCGTAAACAATATTCCTTCTAAACGTGTTGAAACATTAGTTTACGAATGTCTACTTAGTAATATGTTTATGAAAGTCAAGCTTAAGGTAGAGCTTGTTGTAGCCATCCCTCTAACCACCCAAATCAACTTCACATCTTTACGAAAATCGGGATGAAGTGGAGATAAAGACCAATGGGTTCGCTCAACACAAAAAACTCTGGGTGCTAGCTCTTTACGAGCTGCTCCGACTGCTGCTCAAGAGCTTGACGATCTTCTATGGGATGTCGTCGGTCCCGTAAACTAGGCCGAGGATGAGCCAGCCAGGCAAGACAGTTCAATGCCTCCATATTTTTAGTCTTTTATGGAGATATTGGATTTGAGGTTCACATACTTAGAGTCCCATTTAACTACTAACTACGAAGCAATGAACAAAAGATTTAATGCCGTTGATGATAGACTCGATGCACTAACCAACGATGTTGCTTTTCTTAGAGGACATCGATTTGATCCCGATCCACTTACGGATAATTCAACTTCTCTTACTAGTTTTCTTAGGATGAATTATGAACTTAGAATTGTTAAACATTTTGGATATTTGTATATTTGGTTTGGATTGTTTGTGTTTTGGATGTTTTTTTAATTATAAATGATATTTAGTATTTGAACTTAAATTGATGATTTATTAGTTTTTGCATCATTTACATATTAGACATCTTATGACCAAATCTCATTACATATTGTTTTTGAATATTGATTATGGACTAATGACTAATATTTCTCTTGACTTTGATCTTAGCAACTATATCTATATAAATAAATTGGCTATTTTCTTTAAAAACTTGTTTAAACGTTTTATAGAGTCTTTTTGATTTAACAAAAAAGGGGGAGAAATGTTATAGTAAGGGGGAGTAATTTTTCAAAGTAATTTTTCAAAAGACAAAAATCATAAAATTTCTAAAATGTTTTGTTATATCAAAAAGGGGGGAGATTGTTGAGAAAACATTTTGATATTTCGATATAACAAAAGTGTTAACGAATTTTAAGATTTTATATTCGATCCAAAATTATATATTCGATTCAATTATTCGAATATCAAAAATATTACTCCAAGTTTTCAAAGATCAATTTTTACTCTTTACTTAATGAAAAATTGTAATTTATACTTAAAATATTTTTGGAACAATTTTACAAAGTATTTCGAACCATAATCGAGTCAAAAATGAGTTTTAAATAGGGGAGTATCGATACCTCCTTAACGAGTATCGATACCCCTCAAACATCGAATGCAAAAGAGGTACGGATACCCCACAGGGTATCGATACCCCTTTATATAGAGGTACCGATACCCCTCATTTGATTTGGACTCCGAGAAATAACAAAATGCAATATGTGTACAAATACCACGACAGGTAACGATACTTATTTACATAGTAGTATCGATACCCCCCTTGAGAGGTACCGATACCCTTGGTCTTATAACGGTCAAAATATTTGAATTTTATACAGGTAGTATCGATACCCCTTGAAGGATTATCGATACCTATACACTCACAGCAGCTTTTCAAGAGGATTTTCACACTACAACGACTCTATTATCACCAATTTGATTCCCAACGGTCTGAATTCACCTAAGGTGTATTTAAACAAGTTCTGAAGCCTTTGATCATCAAGTATTACACAAGAATTGATATAGAAACAAGAGAAAACATCAAACCTCAAGTTTAAGCAATAAAACCAAAATCCTTTCAATATTTATTTTGCTTTCAAGAACACACTTTGTGCTCAATTGTATTCATCTTTGAGTGCTCTTTATTTGTTCTAGAATAGTGCAAACATTCTACATTGTGAGGTTTTTCTGTAAGTTTGCAAAATTTGTAAGTTTCTCTTTGAGAGAGAGTGTTCTCAAGAATTTGGGGTATAATTCTTGAGGGAGTTGTAAGGTTACTCTTTGTCCTCAAAAGAAAGACAAATTAGTGAATTTGTGGAAAATCCTTAGTGTGAATAACTAAGGTGGTGGACGTAGACTTTGGTTGAGAAAGTCGAATCACTCTAAATCGGTGTGCAAATATTTTCAATTTTCTGTCAAAGTTTCCACCAAAGTTTTAATTACCAATTCACCCCCTCTTGGTCGATTCATTCGATCGATTAAGTCAACAATAAGTATCGAATAAATAAAAAAGTATCGAACCTCATAACATATGTATCAATATTTTAACTATCAACCATATCCATCAACTTGTTCAATATTTGAAAATATCGATCAACATCGCATAAGTATCAATATTTTAAATTTTTATCTTTTTATCAACTTTTTTAATTTTTAAAAGTATCAATCATTACCGCATGAGTATCGATATTTTAAATTTCGGTCTTATTTTTAACTTTTCTAATATTTAAAAATATCAATATTTAAAATTTTGAATCATTTTTTATTTTTTGGGTGCAACATATTTTATTAATTAAAATATTAATATAACATATCACAACATATTTCTTAGTGAACCATGACATTCTTAGACCAACCTATTTTATTAAAAAAATATTAACATTACATTTACAAAACGCAACCTACTTAGTTAACCATAACATTCTTGGGCGTAACTTATTTTATTAATAAAAATATTAACATTACAGATCATAACATATTTCTTATTAAACCATGATATTATTGAACACAAGCGTATTTCTTATATATATTCATAACATTTTAAACTTTGAACTTATTTTCTTATGGTGAGAAAATTAAATACATCATCAACTTAAACTTTGATAACATTAATTACATTTATTTTTTATAACTCATTTTTTATCATATATAATATTTTAGTATAACATATTTTGTTACTCCGACTGATAACTTTTTTTAATTTTAATTTATTAAATTATAAGTAGTACTTTTAACTTATAAACTTTTGACCAATCACACCATTTATTAACTTTATTGAATTGCTTCAGAGGAAAGCCTTCCCTCTTAGACATAGAATCTTCCCGAGTGAAAATTGGATCACTTGTACGGAAGATTTAAAAGTGGGAAAATAACTCTAAGGGTGTGTTGGTTCACGGAATGTAAGATTACCAGTAGGAATAAGATTACTAAGAATGTTGTATTTTGTGTTTGGTTGGTTTAGCATGAATGTAAGATTACCGTGGTTAGTTAAATGAATAAAAACTTATTGGAATGTATATTTGACCAAATTGTCCTTATTATATTTTTATTTTTTAACAAGTTGGAAAATATTTATATATTTTCTTTAAAAAATTTAAATTCATAAAATTTATATATATATTGTTTACAAAATTGAAAATATAAAAAAGGTTAATGAAAGGGTAAAATTTTATTTTAACCCCTGAACTTCATATAAAATTTTAATTATAGATTTTTTTGTAAATCTAAAATAGTTTAAGGATAAATTTGTAATTTAACCTTCGTAGAATTTTTTTTATTCAAAGACAGAAGAATGATATTTTTGAAAAAAAATTAAGGTCATTTTAATCCAAAACGCCGGTAATCCAATAATACCTAAGGAAAGAGGAATAGTCACATTCTCGGTAATATACCGCAAAATACTACTATTGATAATAAAAGATTATCGGAGGTTGGAAATGTTGGCTAACCAAACGGGAAATGAGATTCCATTCCACTGTTAAACCAAACACCCCTTTTTAGGGAGCGTTTAGATGGGGGAATGTGGGATTCCCATGGGAATTGAATCCACATTCTCCCGTTTGGTTAGCCCGGGAATCTCATTCCCAGTAATGTAAGATTACTAATAGTGGGTTTTTTGTGTATATTACAGGGAATGTCATTACCTCCATTTCCTTAGGTATTGTTGGATTACCGTTGTTTTGGACTAAAATGCCCTTAATTTTTTTTTTCAAAAATATCATTCTTCTGTCATTGAATAATAAAAATTCTACGAAGGTTAAATTACAAATTTATCCTTAAACTATTTTAGATTTACAAAAAAAAGTTCATAATTAGAATTTTATATGAAGTTCATGGGTTAAAATAAAATTTTATCATTTCATTAAACCTATTTATCCATTCAATTTTGTAAAAAATTATATAAATTTTATGAATTTAAATTTTTTTTAAAGAAAATATATAAATAATTATAATAAAATTATAGTAGAACTCAACTTGTTAAAAAAACAAATATATAATAAGAACAATTTGGTAAAATATGCATTCCAATAATCTTTTATTTTTTTAACCAAACACGGTAATTTTACATTCCTGCTAAACCAATAAAACACAAAATACAATATTCCCAGTAATCTTATTCTCAATGGTAATCTTATATTCCGTGAACCAAACGCACCCTAAAGATATAAAATAATCACTTTGTTGAGACATACATAAATAGTTTCCTTAAAAATATAGTAATAGACTTTGAAGGGAAAAAATCATATATTGACGTGGTACTAAATTCATTCTTTTCATATCATTTCAATTGTGACATTTAATTAACTTATTTTTGCCTGATTAAACTCGTAATTTTTTCAAATCAAGACTTGGAGTTGAACTACCTCCCTTAACTTATCCATTGTATATGTAATTCCAAATTATCAGCAGCAGAACAAATGACTGAGTTGCATACATTAATCACCAAATTTAATAAACATATATTAGGATCAAATACAAATAAAAGAAGAGATTGCTCTTTCGATTCATCAGGTTCAGGCCTTGATGCAGCAGTTGAAGCAGCTGAAGATTCCCCTCTTCGTCTGACAACAAAATCACACTTTTAATCCTAATGAAATCAAATTATTCCAATTTTTTTTGTTTTTTTTTTATCAAAGGGCCAACCCATATGCTAAGGATGAAAGGAAAAGATGAAAGGAAAAGATGAAATGAGCCAACTAAGCAAACGTCCCCCACCACCCCAAGCACATGCATATGCCGCCAAAGTCTATAGCTTTATATTCATTTTTCTTAGGGCACTGTCCCCCCATTTACAGCTACCTACCAAAACCAGAAAAAAAAAAGCAACATTTGAAGTTGATCATAAAGGGAAAATTAGTGGGAGGGAACGCTTACAGTTGGGGAGTGATGATCAGCGGTAGGGGCAGTTGAAACAGTAGGGTTAATGAATTCATCTTCATTTCCAAGACTGGCTCTTGAAACTTCCCTCTTGTTTTGCTTCCGCATTTCCCTTATCTTTGAGAAGTCTAGTGAGTAATCCGGCACCTGCCCTTTCTGCTCCCACTCACCGAATTGTGGCACTGATACCCACCCTCCATTTTTCTGTTTAATCATTCAAAAAAAATTCATAGAAAATCAGGAAAAAATACAGAACAAATTCTATGATTGGGTTTCCAAAGTCAAAGGCTAAAAACCGAAAGTGAAACCCCGCATGACTGAATTTCAAAAGATTCACATCTCATAAAATTTGTTTGTTTGCAAAGAAAATGATGCTTCAGCTTAACCCTCAACAACAGAGCTAAAACCCAGAAAAGAAAACGAGAGAAAAGAAAAGGACTCACCTCCGGCTCCTTGCGATCTTCCATGCTTGACACCAAAGCTGATTTCCACCAAGTTATAGAAATTTAAACTGCCAGAGGAGAAAATTGTGGGGATCGATTTGTGGGGATCGATTGAGCTCTCACAGCAGACTTGATAGCGAGCCACCGAATTGGAATTTTCTTTATGCAAAACTACCCACAACGTAATGAATTCAATCACGTCTCTGTTATATGAATATATATCTTAAATAAATAATATATACGTTGCAGTTATCTATAATGGGCTTATTTCTTTGTGGAAATTACACGGAATGCCACTCTTACGGACATGCTTTTACCGACCAAATAGAAGGAAAGAATCCAACATTTATCTATTTCAGATATTTTTATCTTTTAATTTCATATTAAAACGAGTAACTAATGAAATTTATATTCTAAATTGTACTGAAATTGAATGGATAAATTTGTATAACTTGATAATGGTGTCCACTTTGGGAGCAGCTTCAACAAATTGGTTCGGGTCATTTAAGAGAGATTGGAAATTTGATATAAATAAGTTCACAGTTAGGGACAATTAAAGTTTCAGAAAGTCAAGGTGAGGACATATGGAACAGCGGCTACTTCAAAAGTTAAAAGGATAACTATCATATTGATCACCTTTGTTTCAATTTATTAAATTTTGATAATTGAAATTTAAAAAATATTTTAATTATTTATATTATTAAATTGTTAATGTTGTTATTATGATGATATAATATGTTAAAAATGATTAATTTCTAATTTAATCTTGAATTTTTATTTTATTCATTTTTATATTCTTTAAAAAAATTTAAAATTCTCTCAAACCCAAAATTTGACTAAGGTATTATGTCGTTGATCATCTCTCGTTATCGACCATCATTGATTGATTCATCCCTACATTTTCAACTCACTTTTTTTGGCATTATGAATAGGGAAAATACAAGATTTTATGTTACAGAGTATGAACTTTTAGAAAATTATATAATAAATTTAGAGGTATGAAATTAATAAAAAAAAATAAAAGGGTATAAAATTAGGTCATCAAAAGAAAATGCCTTAACTATATGAGACTTTAAAACTTTTAGGGAGGTGTGATGGTCCCTCAACACCCGCTCAATCCATCCATGCTCATAAATGAGAATTTGAAGTATTGTTAATTGAAAAAAAATCTTGAACTTCACAAATATAGCCTAAAGTCTTTCAACCTTCTATTTTGGATCTCCCAAAATCCTCTTTCGATTTTTGCTGATTTCAAACTATGTTGCTCTACTTCCCAAGATGCATTAGTTTACCATTAGGTTTAGTCGAAATATCGTTGAAATTTCATGAACTCAATAGTTGAATGAGACTTGCCTTAATTTTTTTTGAAAATGTATGATTGTAATTTAGAGTTATAACCTTTGATAACCCTTTGATTCGTGTTTCACATAAAATTATCTTTTTACCCTTTTAAATTGATTTCCCCCCTAAAGATTGAATTAATGTTGAAAAACATAAAGAATAAGTATAACAATTTAAGGCTTTTTTATATGGAAATAATTATAATTAATTAAATGGCACTAAACATATTTACAAAATTACATCCATTCAGCCAGGTAGGGTAAAGGAAGCCCAATTAGCAGCTCTTTATAAAAGGTGTAATTGAATGGATATGTCTTTATGTTCTATGTGACACTTCAATTAGAAAGTGTTTTTCGTTAATCGCTTACATGAAAATTTTCCCTAAAACGAATTCCAATTGTATAATAGTTTATGGTTTTTTTAAAAATGTTTATGGGTTTTTTTTAAATGTTTAGGGATAAATGGAAGATGATTAAGTTTAAGGTTTTTAAAAATGGTGAATAGAAGATAATTTTAAGTTTAGGGTTCAAGTGCCTTGAGGTTTTGAGTAGATTGACAAATGGGTTAGGTTTAGGGTTATGGATTTATGTATGACATAAAGCTAAAATTATTCGTTTAGGATTGAACGAAAGATTTCATTGTGGTATAAAAAGATACCATATATAAAGATATGCTAAGTATGATTTTATTTGATAAAAGTTCATACTAATAAAAAATAGATTACAAATAAAAAAATGAAATATTATGATTTTATTTTAAAAATCTAATTTGAAAAAAATCATTTTAAATATCATATATATATATATATATCATTTATTATATGAATTTGCAGACACTACTGAAGATTGAATTTTTGAGAGATGTGTGTGGAATTTGTCAAGGTGGAGATTTGTTGGTTTTTTTGGTAAATTTTGAAGCCCACATTGGTTTTGTATAAGGAGGAGGGGAAATTCTTTTGTTATAAATAGAGCCCTCCTCCTCCTTAGTTTAACATCCCACAAATATAAGTCTTCTTCTATATTAAAGGCTATTTGTACTCTTTCTCTCTCTTTGTAAATTTATCTTTCAATTTGTAACAATATTGACCAAGTCTAAACAATGTTTAAACTTGACCGCAGTTACCACTTTTGTCAACATATAAGCAGGATTCTCAATGGTCCGAATATTCTGGATTATGACTCCACCTTCTTCTAGAATCTCTCGTACAAAGTGATATCGAACATCGATGTGCTTCGTCCTTGCATGGTAAACCTGGTTCTTTGCTAAATGAATATCACTCTGACTGTCACAGTGCACTTTGATGTGCTTCTGTTCCATTCCCAATTCACCAAGCAACCCTTGAAGTCAAATTTCCTCCTTCACAACCTCTGTAACTACCTTATACTCTGCCTCTGTAGTAGACAAAGCCACTGTTGACTATAAGGTGGACTTCCAACTGACTGGTGCTTTTGTAAATGTAAACACATAACCAGTAATTGATCGACACTTGTCCAAATCACCTGCATAGTCTGAATCACAATACCCAACTACACACTAACCATCTTATTTGTCCTGCTAAAAGACCAAACCAATATCTACGGTGTTCAGAATTATACCGCAGAATCCATTTCACAGCTTGTCAATGCTTCTTTCCAGGATCATAAATATACATGCTCACAACCCCAACTGCTTGTGAAATATCGGGTCTCGTACACACCATTGCATACATCAAGCTACTAACAGCACTTGCATACGAAACCTTTGACATGTATTCCCGTTCTGCATCATCCTTAGGTGACATGGATGCACCGAGCTTGAAATGAGAAGCAAGAGGTGTACTAACTGGTTTTAACTTCTTATTCATGTCAAAACATTTTAGTACCTTCCTCAGATATTCTTTCTGAGACAAACAAAGCCTCCCCAATTTCTTATCCCTTGATATCTCCATGCCTAGAATCTTCTTCGCTTCACCAAGATCCTTCATCTCAAACTCCCTGTTCAATTAAGTCTTTAGTTTCGTAATTTCTGTCTGACTCCTGGAAGCTATCAGCATATCATCAACATAAAGAAGAAGATATATATAGGATCCGTCTTGTAGCTTGTGTAAATACACACAATGATCATATTTGCTTCTTGTGTACTTCTGCCCTATCATAAACTTGTCAAATCGCTTGTACCACTACCTTGGATATTGCTTCAATCCGTACAACGATTTTTCTAATTTGCACATCATCTCTTCTTTTTCAGCAACTTTGAATCCATCTGGCTGAGTCATGTAGATTTCCTCATCCAAGTCTCCATGTAAAAATGCAGTTTTTACATCCATCTGAACTAGTTCCAAATCCAACTGCGCTACCAAAGCCAACAAAATTCTGATGGAGGAATGTTTTACAACTGGAGAAAATACTTCATTATAATCAACTCCCTCCGTTTGAGCTTAGCCTTTAGCCACCAATCTTGCTTTGTAGCGGATGTTATTCTTGTCAGGAAATCCATCTTTCTTTGCATATACCCACTTCACCCAATTGCCTTTTTTTCCTTCGGAAGACTAGCTAGTTTCCACGTATGATTCTTTTGAAGGGATTGAATTTCTTAATTCATGGTGATCATCCACTTTTTATGTTATGAACTTTGGACTGCTTCATTAAAAGTGGAAGGAACGTCATCAATTACAATTGGTGATGTAAAAGAGACCATATTAGCATAACGAGCAGGTTGTTTAATGGTCCTCTTTCCCTTTCTGAGTGCAATTGATTCATGTTGCTGTAGAGGTTCTTGGGTCTGAACCTCTTCTTCATCTGACTCTTCTTCTACCATAGGAGAGTCAACATCGGTTTCTTTACTGGTTGGGACAATTCTGCTTCCTTCAAACTCCACCTGTTTGGGAGTTTCATCTGTCTGCTCCAATTTTTCTGAAGTCACCTTTCTCAACATGGTAGATTCATCAAAGGTGACATCCCTGCTGAAGATTATTTTCTTTGTTTCTGGACACCAAAGATGATAGCCTTTCACACCAGAGGTGATCCCCATAAAGATTGCCTTCTTTTCTCTTGGATCTAGATTTGACTCTTTAACATGGTAATATACAGTGAAACCAAACACATGTAAGGAATCATAATCTGTAGCAGGTTCTCCAAACCATTTTTTTAATGGTGTCTTACCACTAATAGCAGTCGATAATAAGCGGTTGACAAGCATAGACTAAAGCCTCAACCCAAAATTCTTTGCCTAACCCAGCATTAGACAACATACACAGAACCTTCTCCACTATTGTCTAGTTCATACGCTCTGCCACCCCATTCTGTTGTGGTGTATATCTGACAGTGAAGTGACTGACAATACCTTATTCTTCACAGACTTTCAGAAATGGATCATTTTTGTACTCTCCACCATTGTCTGTACGGAGACGTTTTATTTTTCTGCCTGTTTGAGTCACCACCATCTTTTTCCTTTTAAGGAAAAATCCTAGCACCTCATCCTTTGTCTTCATTGTATACACCCAAACTCTCCGGGAAAAATCATCAATAGAGGTGACATAATAGTGTGTTCCTCCCAATGAAGTTATCTTGGAAGGCCCCCATACATCTGAATGAACATAATCCAAAATACCTTTAGTATCATGGATTGATGTTCCAAATTTCACCCTCGTCTTCTTCCCTTTGATGCAATGCTCACAAAAAAACTAATTTGCAAGCCCGAGCACCCTTCAATAATCCTTGATCTATCAGTAATTTCAAGAATTTTTCACCAACATGCCCCAAGCGCATATGTCATAACCTAGTTGCTTCTGACTCCTGTTCATCAGTAGAAGCTGCCACTGTTGGCGTCCCAACAATTGTACTACCCAAAAAGTAATACACATT